CTGCCCTAGGAGATAGCAGCCCGGACCCCCCATCAGTCATGGACCCTGACTGTTGCCGGGCCACGCTCTCCCCAAGCAGCAGCCCAGTCTGAGAGGTCAAGCCTGCCTGCCTGCCGATACAGTCCCAATTGCCCTGTGCTTGCACTCGGGAGAGGCCTGGATCCAGGCTGCAGGCCAGGTAGGCCTGCCCCATTGAAGGTGAGGGCCAGTGCTGCCCTGTGAGGGCCCTTCTAGAACGCGATTCTTTCAGGAAAAGGGAGGGGGGGGGTAAGATGTTTAATGTTCTATGAATTGGGTGAGAGTTTCCAGAGCACATCAGTCTCCATTCAACAGTTCACACTGATCTCCTCTCCCGGCACTGATTGCAGTCTCCCTCGTGCGCCCCCATTTAACCCCTGCCTCCCTGTGGTTCCCCTTTATGCTCCTCCATCTCCCAACCCTTCTGAACTTGGTCCTTTTGATCTCAAGTGGTTGATTGCTCTGAGGTGTTTTGCACCCCCTAGTGTGACTGTTCCCCTAATAGACCTGTCTGTGGGGTGACTGGAAACCCAGCCACAGGGGTGAGTTTAGTCCCAGGCCTGAGAGGTGACTGGTGACCAAGGGCTGTAGTCTCCAGGCTCCCGCCAGTCCCCATCCAACCAGGCAGCCTGGTCACTTTCCTGATCCTGAGTATTGTTCCACCTTTTCTCCCCGTCCACCCTGGACCTTCTAAGGGGATCCTTCTCAGGCTGTCTGTAGTACTGGCCGGGCTTCCCATTAAGGACCTACAGCCTCAGAAACCCTGTGGGGCGGTTTCGCTCTGTCTGTGGGGTGGCAGTGACCAACTCAAGGGCAGCAGGTTTGCTTTGGGTAATGAGGAGGAGGAAGACACCTGGGCAGGCTAGGTGGGCCTGGTTAGCAAGGTGGTTTTAGCCAAGTTTGACTCCCTGGCCCTGGGGGCCCTGCAGAGAGGAGAGCAGGCTCTAAGTAAGCCTGTTGCTCTCCCCTGGAGAACGTGGGCTGTGCCAGAGCCACGGCTTATGGAGGAGGGGGCACAGGTCAGCCCTGCTCTGCACCCTGGCCAGGGGACCCGTGGAAGGCCAGAGTGGCACCCCATTGTGCAGCCGTGGGCAGATGACC